TAAAAAAAAAAATAAAATAAAATAAATAAAAAAGATATTTATTTGAGAGAGAGAGAGCAAGCAGGGGGAGGTGCAAAGAGAGAGGGACAAGGAGATTCTTATGTGCGGGAGCCCGACTTGGGGCTCGATCCCGCAACTTGGAGAGTCAAAACCAAGAATTGGACACTTTAACTGACTAAGCCACCCAGGTGCCCCCATCCCTTTTTTTTTTATTGAAAAATCTGTACTTTCCAGGCTTACTGCAATGTCCATATATACATGTGTCCATTTCTGGGTTGTCTTAGTTGTTCCCTACTGATTTGTCTGTTACTGCACTAGTACCATTGTGAATTGTTACTGCTTTGCTAAAAGTCTTGATACCTGGTAGAGCAAGTCCTTCCACCTTTGATGTTCTTACCCCTTTCCATTTTGTGTGTAAATTTTATTTTTTTAATATATTTTAAGTTTATTTATTTAAGCAATCTCTATACCCAATATGGAGCTCAAACTCAGGACCCTGAGATCAGGAGCCCCACGTTCCACCAGCTGAGCCAGCCAAGCGCCCCTTGTGTGTAAATGTTAGAATCAACTTTTCAAGTTCCCCAGAAAAGCCTGTTGGAATTTTAATTGGGATTGCATTTAGTTTATAGATCTATTTGGAAGAATTGGTATCTTTACAATATTGATCTTCCAGTCCACAAGCAGGATATATTTACTCCATTTAGTCTTTTTAAAATGTCAGAATGTTAGTTTTCTTTAGAGAGGTAATAAACAGTTTTGTTATTAGATTTATTCCAAGTTGCTTGGTAATTTTGATGCTTTTCTAAATGGTAGCTTTTTACTATTTCATTTTGTGAAATAAGTGCCTATTGTTGATAGAATAAAAATCAATTCTATTTCTGATGTTGATTTTTGTGTCGAGCAAAACTTGTTAAACTCTTATTCTAGGGGCGCCTGGGTAGCTCAGTCAGTTAAGCGTCTGCCTTCAGTTCAGGTCATGATCCTGGGGTCCTGGGATCGAGCCCCACGTCTGGCCCCCTGCTCAGCGGGGCATCTGCTTCTCCTTCTCCCTCTGCCCCTCTCCCCCCACTCCTGCTCTCTATCAAATAAAATATTTTTTGAAACTCTTATTCTAATAATGTAAATTCTCTTGGATTTTCTACATCGTCAATTGTGTATTGTCTATAATTAATGATAGTGTATTTCTTCTTTTCCAATTCTTTTGCCTTTTCTTTTCCATACTGCACAGTACAGTGTTGAATAGGAATGTTCCAGTTTCAAAAGGAAAGTTATCAACATTTCACTATTAAATAAAATGTATCCTTTTTTCAGGTTATGGAAGTTCACTTCTATTGGGAGTTTGCTAAGAGTTTTTATTACAATTAGATATTGAATTTTATCAGATTCTTTTTCTTCATGTATTATGAGAGTCATTTTTTTTTTCCTTTTAAACTGTTAATGTGTTATGGATTACATTATTGTTTTTCTAATGTTAAACCAACCTGAAATTCTTGGTATAAATCCAATTTGGTCATGATAGATTATGAAAATATTGCTAAATTTAGTTTCTAATATTTTGTTGAAGATTTTGTATCAGTATTCACAAGATACTGATATATTAGGTTTTACTATCAAATTTATACTGATCTCATAATAAGAGTTAGGGAGTCTAGGTTTTTTTTCCCCATTCTTGGGAGATGTTTGTGTGAAATTGCAGTATTTCTTCTTTAAATGTTTGGTTGAACTTATTGAAGCATTGAGGACTGGAGTTTAGGAAGGAGTTTTCAAATAGGTGATTCATTTTTTTTTGTTATAGGATGATTCAGATTTTCTGGTTCATCTTTTGTCTGTTTGGTAAGTTATGGTGTTTTTCTAAGAACTTGTCCATTACAACTACATTTATAAAGATTTACCATTAACTATTTATGGTATCCACGTTAACTTTTTGATGTCCTTAGGATATGCAGCAGTGCCCCCCTTCTCATCCTGATTTATTAGTTATTTGTCCCTTCTTTGTTTTTTTCCCTTGAATTGTCTTAACAGAGGTGTGTCAGTTTTATGAATCTTTTCAAAGAACCGACTTTGGGCTTTGTCTCATATGCTTACTACTTCATTAAATCTTGCTCTTTTACTTCTTTCTCCAGGTTTCCCTTGCTGTTCTTTTTCCAAATTCTTTAGATCGGTTCTGTTTAGTAGAAATATAACGGGAGCCATATATGTAATTTTAAAATTTTCTAGTAGCTGTATTGAAAATCAAAGAGAACAGGTGAAAATAATTTTAATAACATTTAACCTACTAGATAAAAAATATTATCATTACAATGTGTAATCCATAAAAAATTAGTGAGTTTTTCTTCATACTGTGCTCTCAAAAGCCAGTGTCTAGTTTTCATTTTACAGCACTTCTCATTCAGACCAGCCACATTTCAGGTGCTTTATTTTCCCACGTGGCTAGTGGCTGTTGTATTGAACAGCACACCTGTAGATGAATATTTAACTCATTTCTTTCATCTTTTCTAAAGTTGGCATTTAGGGCTGTACATTTTGTCTTGAGTATCCCTTTCACCGCATCTCATATGTCGATAAAAGTATTTTGCCATTATTGAGTTCAGAATATTCTATTTCCATTATTTTCTTTGACTTAGGG